GGTGCGGCCCCTACTAACAAAGCATCAGGCCTGGATGGCCTACCATCAGAGATTGTCAAGACCTTTGGGGAAGCTTTGCTTCTAGAGTTGTTGGCAGTATTGAACTCGACCTATGAACTTCATCAACTCCCTGATTCTATGACTATGGCAGGCATTATTGTTCTTTCGAAACTGGGCAAGGATAACTTTCTTCCATAATCCCATCACCCTATCACTCTTCTAAACTCTGATATTAAATTACTAGCCAAGGTACTGCTCAATAAACTTAGCAAGGTTATGCAGAAATTGGTGCACCCTGACCAATCAGGGTTTATACCCACACATTTAACTGCCTTCATCATATGTAGACTTATTTTGAACCAGCAACTACCCTCAGATAATGTGAGAGATAGGTCCATTCTATCGTTAGATGCGGCCAAAGCTTTTGATAGTGTGGAATGGCCTTATCTTTGGAAGGTAATGGACCTCTTTGATCTGGGAGCTAGATTTATAGACTGGGTGACACTATTATACTCTGCATCCCGAACCACAATGTTGATTAACGGGTCCCAGTCTGCCTCTTTTCTCTGCACATGAGCACGTGGCAGGGTTCTCCCCTCTCCCATCTCCTCTTCGCTATGGTGATTGAGCCTCTTGCTAAGACTATTCATCAGTCGCCATCTATTGTTGTCTTTAGAAGAGGAGACAAGGAGGAAAAGTTTGCCCTGTATGCTGACGAGCCTGTTTCTGGGATACACGGGCTCATCCTTGTCTCCTCTTATGCCTACTATAGTGACATTTGGATCCTTTTCTGGCTTTGTGATAAATTGGGACAAATCTGTCTTACTTCACTTAGACTCACAAAATATAATGTTGCCCCCCCCCCCCCCCATGCTAGGCAGAATGGAATTGTGTCCAAATTTGAATACCTGAGAGTCTGGGTCCATCCCACTGTGGAGGATTACGTTCGCTACAACTTAAAGCCCCTACTGGATAAAATTAAAGTGAAAAGTAGGGCTTGGAGTAAGCTCCCAAAAGTAGTTTAAAAGTGTAGACTCCCTTTTTAGAATATTATAATGGAGGGGTAAGAATCTGCTTATCTATTTTGCAATTTCCTAAAGATAGTGGAGGCTTGTCTGTTCCTTCGGCGTGACTATATTTTCTGGCAGCTCAACTTCAGCTCTTTTTTCCCGGGTGGGGTGCTACTAACATACAAGACCCAATACAAGCCATACTTTTGTCTAGGGCAGATAAATATTCAGTAATGGATAAACTAGAAACAGGGAGATTTTGGGATGACTCCCAATATCCAACATTAGTTCTTATGTTTAAAGTCTGGGAGGAAACAGAAAGGATTATGAGATATGAGGGAAGGACTAGCACTTACCCCTGTGGGAGAGGGGTTGGTTAGCTGAGTTACAGAAATTGCAAGGTTTTGAAGGATGGTATGCCAAGGGCATTCTCTTTCTCCATCAGTTATACATAAATAATCCATTGAAATCATTTCAAGACATACAGAGGGAATTTAGTCTTCCACCCCAGAGGTTCTATCAGTATTTCCTGCTTAGGCACACCCTGTCTGTACAAGCTAGATAGCTCCACTCATAGATCAATTAGCTTCTTCCAACAACAAGGGACTTATCTCGTCTCTACATCAATTACTACTGCACAATTCCCTTTGAAATATTCAGCTAAATGGTAGATCAGGGTGGCCTAAGGATATAGATTCTCTGGATGGGGAAATTTGTGAGGCTATTCTGGAGCGGGTTACACTAGTGTCCCTTTCACTGTCCCAATGCCTGTCCCAGCTTTTTGTTATATAGAGAGTGTGCCGAACACCATATAAGCTTGTAGGGAGATGCCAGAATGCTCTAGATGTGGAGGTTCCACTGTGGACCTTCTCCACATGTTCTGGAAATACCCGAAACTGGTTAGATATTGACATAATATAATTGATATTGCAAATCAAGCATTTCAGGCACAACTACATAATGATCCACTAACATGTATACTTTTTACCCCTTATACCAAGACTTATATCTCCAGATTATTATTTATAGATCGCAAATGTTATTTACTGAAAATGATCTCCCCTTCTCCAACTTTTGGGTTCTGGAGAGAACAGGTTAATATCACTCTGCTCAAGGAGCGACAAATCCTGTAGCAGCGAGGTACTCCTCATAGATTTAATAAGCTTTGGGACCCCTGGCTGCAAGTACCAGGGTTGCCCCCCTGTCCCTACTATCCTTATGAATTTTCCTTACGAATTTTCCATTGTTAAAATTAATAAGAGGAGCCGGGGATACAGGGTGGGATGAGGATGGTGTCTGACAGTGGGTCAATGTATAGTATCAGAAATAATAAGGTTTATGTTTGTTGACTTATTTTCCATGATGGCGCTGGGGGTAATATGTAATTTCTTAATATGCAATCATAGGTTCTATTTGTGTTCATAGACATAATGTAAGTTTGAAGGATGTGGTGATGATTTCCCAAAGTTTTATGTTTTACTGTTTTGAGGTAATACTGGTTCTATCCCTATTCTAGCACACAGTGCTACATACACGACATGCTGGTACTGTGAAATTGTATGCTTGCTACTGTATATCATGATCTGCTTGGAGTTTTGTACTGTATTCTTTTTTTCCTTTTGGATTTTTGTAAACTTGAAAAATTTTGAATAAAAATTTTTAGGGAAAAAAAAAAATGGTGTTCGGTCAAGCTAAACCTCCAGCAGCTGTACTACCACTACTAAATGTGACAGCTTCCCCTCAAACCCCCCCCCCCAAAAAAAAAATCCCATGATATAAATACACCATCAGTCATGTCTTCCAGCAATACAGATCCATGTCAATCATGAAACGATTGATGCCTGCCAAACTGCAGGAAGAAAAAAACACTGATGGACACATCTGACCCCATCAGTTCACTTGTGCCAAATTACACTTCCCTGTTCCTGCCATTAAAGTAAATAAAGTGAGGGGGTCTCTTGGGTAATGTCATGACCTAATGGGGATCTCTGTAGTGTTATTGACAAAATATAGACATGTCTATATTTCATCAATGATGTCACTTGGGTGACCACACCTTTTATTTACTTTAGGAGCAATGGCCAGAAGTCATTTGGCTTAAGAGAAGAGACAGAATCGGATGAGTCAGTGTTTTTTACTGTCAGCAAGTTGGAGGGCAATGTTCATCCTCATTGCCATAAATTTACATCACCGGACAACATTATTGGTGGTGGATTTACAGCGTGGGACAGATTTTATTTTATTAAAGTGCACACAAAAGTGTGTGTATTTATTTTTTACTTTTAATGTGCATGAATAGGGGTACTAAGTATTCTTTACTTATTCGCATGGGGAGGTATCTGGGGGCCCCCTTATTGTTAGTCCCCCACCCACCATCCCAAACAACCACTGGGCCATGGTAGTGGAGAAGAGGCTATCAACATTGATATGACTCAAGAGGGGGCACATGCTTTCTTAGCCAGGCTGCATGCTCAAATAAGGGTCTTGTATGGATTGGGGGGAGGGACCCCACACTTTTTCCTGATTTTTGTATCAGGGTCTTCCTTTAAATTAGGGTCTGATACGGAAAATGGTGGGACACTATGTTGTATATTTATTTATTTTTGTTTAAGGTCCCCCTTGACATCCAGATCAGACCCCCACCAAGGATAAGGGTCTGGTATGTATTTTGGAAGGGAACCCCATACAGAAGCAAGCAGCTGAACCAGTCATTTGACAGAAATGTAAACAGCATTTTTTTCATTGTAAATGTCAGTTTTGCTGTAGTAGGTTGTATACAATGTACAGATGTACCACTTCACAGACAGGTTAAGGTCTTCCCCAGGCATACCATTTAGCTCTGGAAGGTTTTACCCCTTTCATGTCCATGCTATTTTTTTTCCTATTTAGCACTGCACTACTTTAACTGGTAATTGTGCTATTATGCAACGCTGTACTCAAACAAAATTTATATAATTTTTTTTGCACAAATAGAGCTTTCTTTAGTAGTATTTAATCACCATTGGTTTTTTTTATTTTATTGCGATATAAATGAAAAAGGGCCAACATTTAAAAAAAAACAATATTTTTTACTTTCTACTACAACACATATCCGATAAAAAATAAAAAAAATAAAAATCCTTCATAAATTTTGTCCAAAATTTTTTTTGCTATATGTCTTTGGTAAAAAAAAAATTGGTTTGTGTGAAAGTTATAGCGTTTACAAACTATGGTATATACAGTATATTGGAATTTTTATTTTATTTTTTTATACCACTAATGGCAGTGATCAGGAACCTAAAATAGGACTGTAATAGAATAAGGGGACTGTTCTATATACCTTATAAGGACTGTTGCATATATGTTTATTCAAAATATTTACTTTTGACAATGGTTCACTTCAATCAATTGTATATTATTTATGTGAATTTCTTGTTGTATTTAAACATTTCACTTAGCACATTGTTATCTATTTATTTTGGTTTATGGATAATAACTTAAAATGATTACAGACAGCTCTTACATATTACATATACATTTTCATGACAACATAAGATTGTCCATAATGCTCATATATTTCCTATACGTTCGCTTTTGCGTTATAATAATTTGTTTTAACATTTAATAATGATATTATATGGTATCACTTAATCAGCATTTTTGTTAAAATGAGAGAAAATATGATACCTGCACTAAGGCTGCACAGCCACAACCTAAAATTTCAAATTGTATTTATTATATAAAAAGCACAATACAATGACCATATACTAAATAAAACACTTCAAAACAGGGTCAATAAATCAATATCCAGGTGCTCAGATCTAGGCATTTAAATACCCTCACATAACTACCGTATTTTTTGCTCCATAAGACGCACCTGACCATAAGACACGCCTAGGTTTCAGAGGAGAAAAACAAGAAAAAAAATATTCTGAACCAATGGACTGCAGACATAGTACAGGAAGTGACCAGACACTGCGGACACAGTACAGGAGATGACCAGAGACTGCAGATGCAGACAGTACAAGAGATAACCAGTGACTGCGGACACAGTACAGGAGATGACCAGAGACTGCGGACACAGTACAGGAGATGACCAGAGACTGCGGACACAGTACAGTAGATGACCAGAGACTGCGGACATAGTACAGGAGATGACCAGAGACTGCGGACATACTACAGGAGATGACCAGAGACTGCGGACATAGTACAGGAGATGACCAGAGACTGCGGACATAGTACAGGAGATGACCAGAGACTGCGGACATAGTACAGGAGATGACCAGAGACTGCGGACACAGTACAGGCGATGACCAGAGACTGCGGATATACTACAGGAGATTACCAGAGACTGCGGACATAGTACAGGAGATGACCAGAGACTGCGGACACAGTACAGGAGATGGACCAGAGACTGCGGACACAGTACAGGAGATGACCAGAGACTGTGGACATAGTACAGGAGATGACCAGAGACTGCGGACATAGTAAAGGAGATGACCAGAGACTGTGGACAGTTTAGGGGATGACCAGAGACTGCGGACAGTATAGGGGATGACCAGAGACTGCGGACAGTATAGGGGATGACCAGAGACTGCGGACAGCAGAGGAGATGAACAGAGACTGCGGACACAGTACAGGAGATGGACCAGAGACTGTGGACACAGTACAGGAGATGACCAGAGACTGCGGACATAGTACAGGAGATGACCACAGACTGCAGACAGTATAGGGGATGACCAGACACTGCGGACAGTACAGGGGATGACCAGACACTGCAGACAGTACAGGAGATGACCAGAGACTGCGGACAGTACAAATGACCAGAGACTGCAGACAGCACAGGGGATGACCAGAGACTGCAGACAACACAGGGGATGCAATATATATGTGACTTTTCTATAAGCAAATACATCAAATAAAATAAAACCAAAAATTATAAATAAAAAAAAAAATAATAAAAAAATACATATACAAAACTATGAAAATTGTAAAAATTATGTCCAAAGTCCCACCGTGTCCAAAATAAAATCAAAGATCCAAAAAAATAGTCCCCACAAGTGTAAAACGAAAAGCTTAAACTTTTTCTTCTTCTTTCATCACCAAAACCTTCTTAATACTCGCAAATCCTGATATTCATACACCTCAAAAAGAAAAAAAACTCGACATAGTGTCATACCTTAAATGATATAGAACACACGTGCCACTCGCTGTGCAGCATGCAAAATATTAACTAAAAGTGTATACTCAAAACAAGTGTCAAAGCACATACAGATAAGTGAAATGACAATATGAGTGAAAACACATTCACATAGGGTATGCAATGCAATGTTTGAAAACCACTCCACAAATAACACTGCCAGTGTATAACACCACACCCTATATATATAAAAAGGTGATAGCCAAAAACCCAGATCACCACTCTCCAACTCTTATATGGATGGGTAATTACCCTATAACAGAAACAGCAGGGCAGATTACCACTCTGGGTTACACTCTCCTCTCATCGATTTTCTCCAAAGACTAGGGTCACTTCCTCCACTTTCCTCCAGAAAACCAGTCACAATATAAAAGATATTCTTCTTTATTGGTAACTCACATAAAAATTCCGTGGTAACAGCTCCTCCTCACAAGAAGTATGCACATGGACAGGTTCAGGGAAACATTAACCGCATGTTCCCACTTCCAAGATGGCCGCGATCGCACTTCCGGTCAACGTCGATGCGTATGACGTCACGTGTCTCTGACGCGTTTCGTCACTTCCTTTGACTTTTTCCTTTGACCCTTCTGAAAAAGTCAAAGGAAGTGACGAAACGCGTCAGAGACACGTGACGTCATACGCATCGACGTTGACCGGAAGTGCGATCGCACTGATGGACACATCTGACCCCATCAGTTCACTTGTGCCAAATTACACTTCCCTGTTCCTGCCATTAAAGTAAATAAAGTGGAGGGGTCTCTTGGGTAATGTCATGACCTAATGGGGATCTCTGTAGTGTTATTGACAAAATATAGACATGTCTATATTTCATCAATGATGTCACTTGGGTGACCACACCTTTTATTTACTTTAGGAGCAATGGCCAGAAGTCATTTGGCTTAAGAGAAGAGACAGAATCGGATGAGTCAGTGTTTTTTACTGTCAGCAAGTTGGAGGGCAATGTTCATCCTCATTGCCATAAATTTACATCACCGGACAACATTATTGGTGGTGGATTTACAGCGTGGGACAGATTTTATTTTATTAAAGTGCACACAAAAGTGTGTGTATTTATTTTTTACTTTTAATGTGCATGAATAGGGGTACTAAGTATTCTTTACTTATTCGCATGGGGAGGTATCTGGGGGCCCCCTTATTGTTAGTCCCCCACCCACCATCCCAAACAACCACTGGGCCATGGTAGTGGAGAAGAGGCTATCAACATTGATATGACTCAAGAGGGGGCACATGCTTTCTTAGCCAGGCTGCATGCTCAAATAAGGGTCTTGTATGGATTGGGGGGAGGGACCCCACACTTTTTCCTGATTTTTGTATCAGGGTCTTCCTTTAAATTAGGGTCTGATACGGAAAATGGTGGGACACTATGTTGTATATTTATTTATTTTTGTTTAAGGTCCCCCTTGACATCCAGATCAGACCCCCACCAAGGATAAGGGTCTGGTATGTATTTTGGAAGGGAACCCCATACAGAAGCAAGCAGCTGAACCAGTCATTTGACAGAAAATGTAAACAGCATTTTTTTCATTGTAAATGTCAGTTTTGCTGTAGTAGGTTGTATACAATGTACAGATGTACCACTTCACAGACAGGTTAAGGTCTTCCCCAGGCATACCATTTAGCTCTGGAAGGTTTTACCCCTTTCATGTCCATGCTATTTTTTTTTCCTATTTATTTTCCTTTGACTTTTTCAGAAGGGTCAAAGGAAAAAGTCAAAGGAAGTGACGAAACGCGTCAGAGACACATGACGTCATACGCATCGACGTTGACCGGAAGTGCGATCGCGGCCATCTTGGAAGTGGGAACATGCGGTTAATGTTTCCCTGAACCTGTCCATGTGCATACTTCTTGTGAGGAGGAGCTGTTACCACGGAATTTTTATGTGAGTTACCAATAAAGAAGAATATCTTTTATATTGTGACTGGTTTTCTGGAGGAAAGTGGAGGAAGTGACCCTAGTCTTTGGAGAAAATCGATGAGAGGAGAGTGTAACCCAGAGTGGTAATCTGCCCTGCTGTTTCTGTTATAGGGTAATTACCCATCCATATAAGAGTTGGAGAGTGGTGATCTGGGTTTTTGGCTATCACCTTTTTTATATATATAGGGTGTGGTGTTATACACTGGCAGTGTTATTTGTGGAGTGGTTTTCAAACATTGCATTGCATACCCTATGTGAATGTGTTTTCACTCATATTGTCATTTCACTTATCTGTATGTGCTTTGACACTTGTTTTGAGTATACACTTTTAGTTAATATTTTGCATGCTGCACAGCGAGTGGCACGTGTGTTCTATATCATTTAAGGTATGACACTATGTCGAGTTTTTTTCTTTTTGAGGTGTATGAATATCAGGATTTGCGAGTATTAAGAAGGTTTTGGTGATGAAAGAAGAAGAAAAAGTTTAAGCTTTTCGTTTTACACTTGTGGGGACTATTTTTTTGGATCTTTGATTTTATTTTGGACACGGTGGGACTTTGGACATAATTTTTACAATTTTCATAGTTTTGTATATATATTTTTTTTTTATTTTTTTTTTTTTATTTATAATTTTTGGTTTTATTTTATTTGATGTATTTGCTTATAGAAAAGTCACATATATATTGTTTAGCTGGCCTTCAAGGGTGAAGGTAGATTACTTTTCTGGGATATTATAGGTTTAAGTGTTGTGATATAGAAGTATAACAACACAGGGGATGACCAGAGACTGCAGACAGCACAGGGCATGACCAGACACTGCGGACCTTTAGGGAGGGTGGGGGAGCGGGTACCTGAATTTGACAGGTACCCGCTCCCACTTCCGCAGAGTTCTCCTTCCTATACTGTGGGCACCCGACTTTGACAGCCGGGTGCCCACTTTGCATGCGCGAGAAGCGCTGCCCTTTGTGAATGGCCCGGCGTCTTTTGGGACCTGTCATGTACTTCTCGCGCATGCGCAGTCGGCACCAGGCTGTCACAGATGCCAGGGCGGGAAGAAGCCGGCGCGGGAAGACTACAGCGCTGGACCGAGGAACAGGTGAGTTCCTGCCGCAGAGAACAGCTGAGCGGCCGGCCCGGTATTCTGACATGGTGGTGGCGGAAATACCAGACCAACCGCTTTATATTCGCTCCATAAGACGCACTGACATTTTCCCCCCTTTTTGGGGGGGGGGAAAGTGCGTCTTATGGAGCGAAAAATACAGTACATTAAATATATGGAAAATAAGATCACCAGAATACTAGTACATCATTCAGATTGTGTTCTCCCACTCCTGGCCAAAAATGGCCAACAATAGAAAACTGTGGCCTCAATTATACAATTCTAAATACAATATAAAAAATGTTCAGACATGCGGAATGGCACAAAAAAAAAGAAAGGACAATGTGGCTAACTATATAGACATATGGATAACAACACTCCAGGGTCTCAACAAAATTAATCAACAGTAAATAAAACTAAAAAATAATATACACCAGCAATATAATTTCACAAGAAATACCAAAATAATGCAAACCAAAATAAAACAACACACAAAAAAAATTAAACAAAAAGGTGAAGAAAATAAATCCTAAATAAAAAAAATCAAAATGCTCTAAAAAAAAAAAAAAACAGTGTTTATAGGCAACAGAAATATAAATATTAAAGATTCAACTTACCACAATACTGTAGTTCACTTTTGCCTATAGGAAACAAAATTGTTATATGGTAATTTATTTTTCTCACTGACTTTACAGACAGTATCAAACAGTCTGCTACTAATTGAATGCACCCACATTCAAATCTATTGCACATCGGCAATATTTAAAGCTCATCAAGCAGTGTTTAATTATGTGGGAAGCTGTGCCATGAGTTGCCTATGCTCTAATTGGTGAACAACGCAGGTCAGAGTTAGAAAGCAAACCAGAGGACATTGTGCAGAAGGATCTAACTGGTCAGCCAGCTCACCATCCGATCCGTGGTCCAGGGATATCAGTAATGCCGCTCCCAATCTGATTCTAGTTCCTACTGCAGCCTCAGCCACAGGCTGCATGGGGCATGGTCAGAGCATCATTAGAGTAGCCAGCCCTGCCCCCTTGCCACTGCAGTCACTTCGCCATCATGGGGCGAGCCAAATTTGATAGCAGCACAGGCTCAAGGGGCAGCTGCCTTGGGCTCCATAACAATGATTGGGCCGAGGGCAGCTGCCCCTTTTGCCCAGAATTGTACTACACGTGTGGGTTTTTTTTTGGCTTGGATTATGCTGGTATGGTGGCATCCAGGCACTGCTGGACCCTATCTGGTCCCTATGGTCCCTGTCAAGTTCAGTATTCATGTTCTTAAAGTGCCAGTTAAGATAAATGTTTAAGGGTGGTTGGACTATACCTGCATGTCTGACCTCTCTCTTAGATCTATGTCCAACCTAAGGTTAAACTTCACTTTTTTTTTACACAACACATCACAATACGTAGCATGTGCAGTTGAGTGCTGCACTGTGCGTATGTTGTCCATTACTGTAATAGTGCATTGGGGGCAGGGGCG